TATTTAATTAAAAAATTTATACTTGTTTTTATTTTTAAAATTTTATTTTTTTTTTTTATAGTTCTCGGAAATTTAACAAGATATTGGATTGCAAAGCTATATATTTATGTATTTAAATAGTAATGTATATAAGATATTAGAAAATATATAATTAGATATTAACAAAATAATTAATAACTTATTTGAAATTCTTACAAAACTTTTTCAATATTTTTTTATTTTAATTAGCGATGATAGTACATATATTTATAATATATGTATAACATTAGGTATTGATTGTCTGTCTATATACATATATATATATACATATATATTTGAATATGTATGTGGACAAACGAACTATGATGAATACTACTTACTTTTCATAAAATTTTTCACAATATATTATTTTAATTTAATTTTTAATCAAAAATTCTAATTTTTAGATACTTTAATAAGGTATTATTGTCCCTTTTGTTTTGTTAAATTAAGAATAAACATTTACATATCCGTTAATAATTTTTATGACATTCTTTTATCATCATTTTAACATGTTATTTTTTTAAATAAACATAAAAATTATATTATGTTATATTATGTTATATTTTTTCTGATTTCTAAGGATACCATAGATAATTTTTAACCAAAAATTAAATCGATACTTATTTTCCAAATTTTTTTTTTCAGTGTTAAAGTTGTTTTTATTTTCTTTGTTTTACTTTTACTTTTTCTTTTCTTTACTTTATTTTCTTTGTTTTCTCTTTATTTCATTATTATTATTACTAGTTATTTTATTAGTATAAATTATTCGTTTATATACTTCTTTTAAACATTTTTTTATATTTTTTTAAATATCTTAATTTAAAAGTAAGAATTATATAGAAGAATATGAATTATATTATAACAATTATCGTTTTTATTTTTTATAATATGTAAGGCTATATCTTTTTTAAATATATTGTTATGATTTTAATTTTTAATAAAAAATTTTAAACAATAGTTTCTTTCATTGTTTTCCATTTTATTTGTTAAATTCAAAATATATATTCTTTTCATTAAAGCAATTAATTTTAATTTTCTTTATTTTGTTTTTCATATAAGAGATATTTTATTTTCATTTTGATATTTTGTTTTATATGTTTAAGTTTAAATTTTTATTTAGTGACTTCAATGAAGTCGTTAAATAATTTTATTAAGTATTGTTTTCGCTTTCAAATATTAAAAAAAAATTTGTTTTTGTTTAAAAATTGTTTATTTTAAAATAAATCTTAGAATTATGAATTATTCTTTTTTATTTTTCATAATATTTAACAAATTTCTATATATTTTAATCAAGTTAAGTTGACATTATTTTGTTATTTTTACTTTACAAATACTAAATTTGTTTTGCTTATTTATTATTCATCAATGGTTTTAATTGATTTTAATTTATGTTCTATTCATAATAAAATATAATATTAAGTGTTTAGTTTTTCTATAACTATATATATATTTCTATAGTAAATAGTATTTAAATACAAATTTATACATTCAATTTCAATTTTTTTGTTATTATTTAATTATTATTTAAAATAAGAAATTATAATTTTTGTCTTATAATAAATCAATCCATA